CCAGGGATGGGGACTCCACCACTGCCCTGGGCAACCCCTTCCAATGCCTCAGAACCCTTTCAGCAAAGAAATTCTTCCTCACATCCAATCTGAACTGCCCTTGGTGCAACTTGAGGCCATTTCCTCTTGTCCTGTCACTTGTTCCTTGGTTGAACAGACCCACCCCCACCTCTTTCCACCCTCCTTTCAGGGAGTTGTGGAGAGCACCTGTGGGTGCAGCCCAGCACCACAGCTGCACAGCGAGACTGAGACATCCTCTCTTGTTGCTACCAGGGGTGATGCATGCCCCACACCGTCCCCAGAGATGTGACCAGCTTTGTCCAGCCCAGGAGCTGTGCACAACCACTCTCCCCACAGCACTGAGCCTGCCTGGCCGTGGAGCCCTCCCCTGAGAGTCACTTTGCAGGTGCAGAAGAGCCAGCAGCACCCTGGGCCATGGCTGCACTGAGAAGCATCACCCCACCATTGGCACACCTTGCCTTCACCAGCAGAGATGGTCCCACTCCCCAAGCAAGGCCATCCAGGTCCGTGTTGGACCAAGGGAGCCAAAACATTCCCAGTCACATTCTCGTCAGCCCTTCTCCTCAACACAACCCCAACCTGCACTTCACCACCACAGACAAGCAGCACCTATTGCTACATCCCTGGCAGCACCTGGCTCAGCACCTGTCTTCCACCTCCAAACACCCAAATGGGTTGGCACGTCCCACATGGTGCCACCACCCAGGAGAAGGCTGCAAGCCAAGAGACAGGACTGTACGGCAAGCAACTCAGGAGAGACCCCAGGTATCTCACCTGGCTCCCATGCCTCAGTTTCCCAGCCAGCCCTGCAGCTGCCCTGCACCCAGCAGAGCTCATGAAGTGCTTGGAGATCCACAGACACCATCTGTTTGTACACATCAAACCAGCTCCTCTGAACAGGGTGTTTCCATCTGCATGCAAAAAGCAGATCCACAATCTAGTCACCCCTTCCCCAGGACCCTTTGGTGGCTGCAGGTACCCACCTCCCCTCCACACAGCGAGGGGTCAGGGCAGTCACCCAAGGGGGCTTCTACTCAAGCCCATTGTGCCAGTGTTGGCTAACACAAGCCGAAATTCCCCTGCTCATTTCTACATTGCCAGCACAGCCCATAACATCGCAAGCAGGACTCAAATCTGGGCCATGTCCCCAGCAGGTGACATCACCAGTGACACAACCAGCACCCACAAAGCTCTGTGTACTACCACCCCCCAGCATCACTGCTGCACATTGGGCTGCTGAGCAAGCATCACCAGGGAACACAGCCTCACCCAGACCTTGTTCCCAAACCTCCATCTGGAAAGCACTTGGGAAGGCAAGAGAAGAAGAGATTTTCTCCCATCCCTTGTGGACTTTGACCAAGACCTCTCCCAAACCACGCCCAGTTGCTCACCAGACTGTACTCCCACTCCATCCCCACCTCACCATGCCCAGATAAGTGACAGATACCAGGCCACCAGCTTGAGGAAAGCTCAACAGAGCCAGCCCTCCTCGCCCGATGGAGAACCTTGTCCCTCCATCAGCTTGCCCACAGCAAAGCCAACGCAGGAGCCTCCAACCTGGGGAAACATCCTCCCCTCCCTCATTGGGATGAAGAACCATCACTGACAACAGCAAACCAGGGTCTTGCCCCACATCCCGATGCTCGCATCTCCATCAGGACAAGACCCCCCCACCCAACTGCCCAACCCCACCAACAGCTCTGCACTGCCTGACTCACCCGCTGAGGACCACGATGAAGTCCATGACGTTCCAGCCGTTGCGCAGGTACGAGCCCTTGTGGAAAACAAACCCCAGAGCCACGATCTTAATCCCAGCCTCGAAGCAGAAAATCCCAATGAAGTAGGGCTCTGTCTTCTCCTGCCGGAGATACATCAGACACAGTCAGAGGGGGAGATGGAGCAAACATAGCACCAGTCATTTCACATTGACCCAGCTCAACGTCCCATCCCACCTTCCCCAGCCCCATCCTGCCCTTTGGGAACTTTCCCAGTCCCTTCCTCAGCTAGCATCAATCTTAGAAACAAGAAGTGGGGGCTACAACCCACTCCAGCTGCCCAGTCCCCTTCCCTACTCCACTTTTTAAGGGGCTTAAACCTTCCTGAACCCTTTCCATGGAGAAGGAGTATGTGACAGCAGCCCCAGGAAGGCTGGAGGGGCTGATCCTGGAGGAAACCTCCTTCCCTACCACCCTAAAACCAGCAGAAATTGGCTGGTAGGATGGAGTGGCTCCCCTAGGCTGGTCCCCTCACTCACTCATGGGGCAGAGAGGGATGGACACAGGGTACTTACTAATCTTCGTGACATGGGCGTCTTGTCATCCTCGGGGAGGTGCTGCTCAAGGGCCAGCACGATGCAGTTGGCAATGATGGTCGCCAGGATCATGTATTCAAAGGGAGTGGAGGGGAGTTAAGGAGCAGAGAAGAGGAAGATGATATCCCCAACCCACCAGCCTGCCCCCGCCCACCCCTTGTTAGCCACCACCACTACTTTCCCTGAAGGAACATGCACACATACAGCCCAGTTTTCACCTCCTGCTGCTCCAGAGCAGGAGGGTGAAGCCCATCTCGGTGCTGTCTGTAAACCAAGAGGGGTGACAAGAACTGAGAGCCCCCAGGACCTTCCTCACTGGAGTCCTGCTGAGCATCATCACCTCCTTCCCAAGGTAATGGGACATTTAATCAATGGCCTTTGCTGGTCTGTGAACTATCTTGGTAGGGAAGACACTGCTTGTGGTGGAAGCCCAGAAGATAGACACAAGTATGAAGCTGGACAACTAGGCTCTAAATTGTGCTTCATCTGGCTGGAAAAGGGCTTGTCATGGTCTCTGGAAGTGTCAGAGAGGCTCTCCCCAGCATTGCATGCTGGTGGCCAGGGCTGACATGTCCCTGCACACCATGGCCCTGCTGCTTGCCTTCTCTCTTCCAGCAGAAAGCAGCAGGAGATGGGGCTTGGCAGGGGCTGTGTCAAGCAGCCCCATCCTAAAGCAACCCCCTGGGAGGGACCATCTGCATGGCTCAAGAAGGATGGAGCATCTCTGGCAGGTCCTGGGGCTCCAACCTGGATCAGCCCACCCTGTGCCCTGCGTTGGCAGGGTGGACATGCCCTGGGAACCAAGGGTCCCTTGCCAAGCACCCTGTGGGTGTCAGGGTGAGCCCAGGCAGGACCAGGAGCTGCAGAGCACCAGGCTGAGCATTTACAACTCAAGACACTGATGGTGCCTGGGTCTGAGCTCCAGCTCAGGCAGGGTTGAAACTCCCCATGGAGATATCCCAGCTTGGCCACACCTCAAGACCCCAAAAGGTAGCAGCACCTTATCAACAGGATCTGGCTGGACCCTTATGAGCATCCTAAATCCTACAGCCACATCTAGGGCTTACACACCCTTCTCTGGGAGCAACCCCACGCCAGGACAAGTGTCAGCAGATGCTGAGGATCTGAGTGAGTGGGGAGAGGAGATGGAGGAAAAGGCATGGAAAGCACTCCAAACTCAGCTCCCTCCTCCCTTTCCACATGCACAGGGGCTATGGAGCTCCCTCCTCCTGCCTGGCCTGAGCTCCAGCAACGAAGCACTTCCAAGTGACAGGACAGCCACATCTTTCCGACTTCCCATCCATCTTTACCACATCATTGCAATAAAACCCTGTTGTCCTCAATAACAAAATGAGGTGAGATTCATCAGCAGGCAGCACACCCCTTCTCCACTCCCCCCATGCCAAAAACCCACAGCTATATTACTGTCACCACTGGTGTCAGCAGCCATCCTGGGAGGGGACTGGCACTCTCCCAAAAGAGTGCAGAAAGGGGATGTGATCCCACCTGGGATGGATTTGCCCATAAAGAGATCATCCATTATCCCACTATTCCAAGCTGGCATGGGGAGCAGCATCCCAGATGAGCCCTTTCCTACCACACCAGGCTTCTCCAAACTCAGTGGCTTCAGGTTCACACCACTCAGGAGATGTCAAGCAGCCCTGCCATCACCTCCAGGAAAAGGGATGATTTTCTCATTCTCAACCTTGTCTTTTGGCTGCTGACTACAGCAAGATGCTTTAAACCAGTGGCCCTGAGCCTATGGCTAAGAGAAGACCAGTGTTGGCCACCAGCATGGGAAACTGGAAACCATGAAGTGACCCCAGCAGCAGCAGAAATGCCAGCAGCAGCAACTCTGTGAACACTACAGCAGGTGAGCAAGGTGGGAGCAGGTCCCTGGAGAGCTGGCCAGGAGGAGACATGTTTAGCCTGGTAGGCAGAAGAGCCAGGAAAGATTCAGCCAAGGCGTTTCAAAGGCCACTCAGTGAAATTAATGGTTGCCAAGTTAAAGGCAAACCAAAAGAGAGAGCTCTGCAGCGCTCACTGCTGCGAGCTCCCACCTCGGTGCCAGCCAGGAACGTACCGTGAGCAGCTCCCCGTGCTCGAGGGGAGGCCAAACTCCAAAAGTTTTCCTTCAAAGCTTAATACAAGCGAGGATTTCATTGCGTAGCTCCTGTAAAAAGCCACCTACTTTCCCCCCACACTTCCCACCACTGGCCGCACACTCGAGCTAAGACGCAGACCGCGGCGCTTGGCCCCGAGCCACCCGCCTCTTTGGGGTCTTTTTTGTTTCATTTTCCTGAAAGTCTGCGAGCAATTAGCACAGGCTTGAAAGAAAAACAGCGTGTTAGTGGGGCAGCACAGCCAGCTCCCCCGGTGCCAGGCACACTTGCCTAGATGAGAAACATGGGAACGGCGTGTGGTGAGCCCGTCTGTCTGCTCCAGCGTGGTTAACCCCACCGAGCATTTAGCGCAACCTTCTCCCTCTGACAGCCGTTAGTCCCATGGGGGAAACATCCAGGTGGGAAAAACTCAACTTCTCCAAAGCCAGCAGCACAAGGAGCCCTGCCCAGCAGTGTTTGGGCAGTCAGGACCACCTCTCATGGCTCAGAAGACCCCTACGTTCCCTTGTTGGTTCCAACATCTGGCTTGACAGCACAAGGACAGTGCACATCACAGCCCCAGCACTGGACTGCTTCCTCGCTCCATCTCTGGTGAGCAAGTGGCAGATGTCAAACTTACGGAAAATGGGGCAATTGCTGCCCTAAGCAGTGACCTAAGCATGAGGTCGCTGCCAAAAGTGACCCTCCAAACCCCGCTGGCCCAGTTTTCCAAGGACCTGAGCCTGGGTTATCACATCTGGAGCTGGGTGAGAGCTGCAAGGCATCAACCTCGTGGAAAATAAACCCCATAGCTCCAGCTGTGCTAGGTTTTGAGAGGCCAAGGGTAAGAAAACCCTCCCCAGGGGACAGCAGGAACATCTGGCTGAACTGGGAGAAATTTGCTCCACACACTTCACTTCTGCCACGCAAGCATCCTCCCAGTTCAGAGCTGGAGCCCACCAGACAATACTCCATCACTCCTTTATTTCCTCTTTCGTTAGATGACTAATTACACAACCTTCCAGCCACCCAAAATGCAGAGTAGCACTCGCCTCCCTCCAAGCCCGTTAATGAAAGCCCGTCTCCATCCAGCCTTCTCCTCCTCCTTTGTCTGGCTTCTCCTGGAGGATCATTAGGGAGCCAATAAAAATAGGTTTTCTTATTGATTTATCTCCTTTACCCAACGCTCTCGCCCCTGCACCGTTGACTTGTTTCCTTAGCAACTCGGCTGATCCCAGTACACACCACACCTGCAGCTCCACACTTCCCTCTTGGTGCATTTCAGGTGGGGAAGGTGCCCCCAGGCCACGTGGACCCTTCCCCAGACCCATGCCCCAGCCCACCTGGAGCAAGTGCAGAGGGTTAACTCCACTCTTGGAGCTGGAGCTCCTTGGTGGGTCTGGTAGGAGCTAGCAGGGAGCACCAAGGAGATGTCCAGCCACTGGTGGACCCTTGCTTCCAGCTGTGACCCCCGCTCTTCACCTCCCTCCCCAGGTGGGTTACAAAACCAGCACACCCAAAACATCTACATTGCTGATGCAAGGACTATGCCCAGCTCCAAGCCCTGAACATGGTACACTGATGCAACCTTCTCAAGAGGCTGTGTGTGAGATAAATCCCTCCCCAGATGCAGGCAAGGACCAGGAGCTGTGGAGAACCCCCCTCCATATCTCCACTTTGGTGACCATGCCTTCTCCTTGCTCCTGGGCAGGCAGATGGGGAGGGAGCAGGAGAGCCAGAGGAGTGAGGCCACATAGGCATCTTCAAAAGGGCTCTTGAGGAAG